AATGTCATGCACTGCCAGGTTCTGCAAACTGTTTTATCCACTGCTTAATAGAATTTGTCATCAGAGGATTAAAACCATATTCTAAAGTACCTAAGATTGATAAGCAGCTAGTGCTCATACATTTTTTAACATAATTTTAAAATGTGTCCATAGACTCCAACTACTACGGATTCTCCGTAGTTTCTACGGAAATTCATGAAAAACTACGAGCTACGAAAAGTATGGAAAAAACTACGGATTTTACAGAAACAAGAGCAGGAGAACCAGTACGCAAAACGGAACCAACTAATTCATCCGATGATTGGCTGAATACTCGTGTTATCATATATCACGTGTTGAGTGCGTTCCTAGTTTTGAAGAATTAGCCAATCGTAGATCAGTAAACTCCAACCGATAACGACTTATCAATAGTTCCACCCAATTGTCTGTCTCCCAGGTTCCTCGCTGATGCGTTGTTTAGGCTGCATTCGGCTGCATTGTGTAGTTTACGGCGAGAGCTTAGCGTGTGTCTTGTGAACTGTGAATCAGGTGAAAGATTTTTAATCATAATGCTGCCTCGAACGAAGAAGCCAAAATTATCAAAGCAGAAGTTTAAAGATTCATATTCTTCAGAATTTCCGTGCATTAAAGCGTCCGAAATTTCTGTGAATCACGCACACTGCAGTGTATGCAACAAAGACTTCTCAGTTGCTCATGGTGGAAAAGATGACTGTAAACGGCATGTGTTTTCTCAAAAGCATATAGAACTTGGCACCGTAAAATCTAAAGAAATAACAAATTTCTTAATAAAAGATGATGAAACAGATCCTATAAAAGCCGAATGCTATTTTGTTCGTTTTTTTTTAATTGAACATAATCTACCGCTTTCTGTTTCGGATCATTCCAAAGAGCTTTTCAAAGCAATGTTTCCGGATTCTGCCATAGCAAAAAAATTTAGCTGCGGTCATACCAAAACTGCTGCTATTGTGAAAACGCTTGCAGAAAATACTGTTGCTGATATTATAAAATCAGTGTGTGCAGTACATCATTTTTCTCTAAGTACTGATGGAAGTAATGATAACAATGATAACAAACTGTACCCATTGGTTATAACATACTACAGTAAAGAAAAGGGAGTGATAATTACTTCATTGATTTCTATTTTAGAATGCACGAATAATACAGGAGAAGGTATTTTTAATTGTATAAATGAAAACTTTAAAAACAAAGGTTTAGAATGGAAAAATTGCTTATCATTTTCTTCAGATAATACTAGTAATATGATTGGAAAGTTTAAAGGTGTAGCATCATTTATCAAAATGCATCAACCAAGTATAATCACCTGAGGTTGTCCGTGTCACCTCTTGCATATAGCTGCAAAAAAAGCTACTGAAAAATTAATTGGCTCAGAAATTGAAATGTTGATAATAGATATATATTTTTACTTGGAGAAAAGTTCGAAACGGAAGCATAGCTTCAAAGTTGCTCAACAAGTTTTGGGACAGAATGCAAAATCTCATAAAATTTTGAAATATTGCAGTACGAGATGGTTGTCTCTTTTAGAATCTATAACAAGGATTTTGGAACAGTGGGATGCTGTGATAAATTTTTCTAATTAAATGTGCATATAATTTACAAGGTATATTTTTAATTATTCAGTTTTATATGTATATGGATTTTAAATGTAATAAAATTGATTACAATTAATTATTAATTTAAAATTAATGAATGGTTAATTACAACATACGCTACGCGCACATTTTCAAAGTTGTAAAAATGTCGTTCGCGCGTTGACTACTGACAAGGTTTGCTGAAGGTTGGAGTCTATGTGTGTCTAGTAATTTTCAAGGATGCCATCTTTATTTAAAAAAATCCTCAGAAGGATTATTTCAAATAAAATATATACAAGAAATTACATCTTCTCTAATGAAATATTTCTTCCTGTTTTATCTATTATCATTTTTACAGAGTGATTGGCCCATGTTGTTTACATGTTAGCATGTTTTTATTTAATGTAAATTAATTTTTTTTAAGAAAATGCAAAGGGTTTAATGCAGTGACAAAGGATTTTTGCTATGTGAATATTTCATCAGAGTAAAATCATCAGTCTTTTGCTTTCCATCCGAACAAAAATTTTTAAGAAACAAGCATTAAGGTTTTCTTCAGCAGATAATTCTTTTACAATAATTTTAAAAATTCAATGGTAATTTGAAATGTAATATTTCATAAAGAATTACCAATTAAAAATTCTATAAAAGTAAATATGTATACTGAATGTTTTCCTGAAGGTGAAAACATATACTTTAATTAATTCATAGAATATACGAAAATGAACATAAGCGAACAAGATATGTGTACATATTAGGATTAGGATCTATGTGAGTATTCTGGCTGTAAGTTTATGAGTGAAAAAGTTCCATTATTGTTAAAATTGAAAGATCTTATTTACATAAATATCTATGGTAATGTATGCACAGGGAACTGGAAGCTGGTCAGCTCAATTCAGTTGCCTCATTTAAATTTGTCATATAATGTCATCTTAGGGATGTGGAGGTGATTTCTTATCTCTGAAACTCGTAATTCTTAAAAAAGGTCAAGGTTTGCTACTGCATTCAGACTGTAGTTTGTGTGCTTTGGTGAGGTATTCTCATGCATTTGAAGGGAAGCTGATATCTACTATTGCAGCTAAAGAATAAATAGGATTACTAATTGTAAGTTTTTTCAGACAAGTGGTCTGTCTTGAAGGCATCCAATGCATTGGTGCCTTTTTCTTGTTTTCGACAGCCACATAATCATTGCAACACAGTAATATCATAATTAAATAGAATTTGACTGGCGTTTTCAAAAAATTGCCAAGTCGCCAAATCGGTTGTTTTCGCGCATTTTAGAAAATCACCTCGTCATGTCGCCATATTAGATGGTTGCGAATTTGAATTAATTCTGTAAACATGCAAAAATATCTAAATAACCTGTAAACATGTAAAAATATCTAAAACAGGACTTCAAGAAAAACAACGAAAAAGTGGGAAAGTGCAGAATCACCCACTGCTTGGCGCATTTTTAAGAATTGCACATACTCAGTATCCATGTACACATCGACCAATTTTCACTTAAGAAACATCCCGGAATTTCACAAAAATGGCATTGCGCACTCCCTTTATCCATGTACACATCGACCTATTTTCACTTAAAACCTTGAAGAAAATTGACAGAAATCCAATTCTTCGTACTCTTGCAAACGCCAAACAAATAAGTGGGCGATTCTGCACGTTACCCAAAGTATTTGAATGTTAATGACTATGTATTTTATAGGATCAACAATATTAAAAGTTTTCATGATATCATATACCATATGAAATAATTTAATTTTTAGTGGCAAAATGGAGTAAAGTGTTTTATTACGAAATTTAAGAAATTGTAATAAGCAGTACATGAGCAATAAATGATCAAAAAGCATTGATTTGTATTTAAGTGAAGAGGTTTCAAGATTTGGAGTGATTTCGTTTCACTTGGCAACTGGACCATAATCTCCAGTCTAGCCATATTTTTATGTGAAAGTTTCCTTTTCTAATAAAAATTATTATTTGAATTCATATATATTAATTAAGTATGGTTGAAATTAAAAGGTGGGACCACCGCTCATGTAGGAATTGCTGCTACTAGATGGCAGCACCATTCAAATATTTTAAAATTCAAGTATCATATTCATTTTATATGTTGATAATGCAAATTTATATTTTTAATAATTTGCAATAATGTTAAAACTTGAAAAATATTTAAAAATTTTTTCCAAAAGAAATGAAAATATAACTCTGTAACATGAAATGTCATTGAAGGATATGTGAGTGTGATTCACCATAGAAAAATATCATAAGAAGAGGAAAGAGAGGTGAAATATAAATAAACATGACGGTCTTCTAAATATCTTCCTATTCAAACCTGTAGCAAAGTAGGGAAAATCTTCTCTGTTTCAAATCTATTATGAAATCATTAAAAATAATGGAACGATTTTTTTTTTAATTATGTAATTTTTTTGCTAATATAATCAATATTTTCTAGATAATTATTCAAAAACGTTTTTTATATCTTGCATTTTCATGTGGTTGCTAAAACTAGCACTTTAAATAAGCATGTCAGGAGAATTTAAGATGAGGCAAAGGTGTCATTTTACTGCTCTAGATGTGCGGTGGGACAAGCAGTATCCCACCACGTCATGAATTACCTTAAAAGTTTAATTGTTTTTTTTTTTTGGCATGAAATGACATTGTATTAGGGGCTAATTATCTATGTGTAAAGTTATTTTTTGTCCAAAAAAAAAAAAGTTTTTTTATGCACCGAAAATCAAAGGGTTAAATGGTAAGCATACCTGATCATTCTTATAGTGAAAGAGAGTGAGATTCATCAAACCAGGTGACATTCTTCCAGTCACCTGGTTTGAAGGGTTTGCAAGTACAGCAGAGTACAGCTAAGAACTAAGGCCTTGCAACTGACTGTGAGTTACAATAGGCATGGGTACTTGGAATTGTCAAATTTTGTGTAGGTTTTGAAGAATTGTATGTTATGACAGAATATTTTATCACTAATATAAAAATTATCGCCATGCTGAACTGCATTATTCTGTCTATAGGATGTTGCCAAATAGCATAACATTATCAAATATTGAATCACATCTGTCCCTCACCAATGTTTTTTCTTCTGACCTGCTTTTGAAACTAGAGATATGTAACACAGTTGATCCTGAGGCTCTCAGACGTTATGGAAATGCTTTTGTCATCTGGCATGTCATTTTTCTTAATCTAAATTGCTTGTGAACTCTAGCTTTCCCACCTGAATAATAAGAGCACTGATTCACAAAGCTCAATAGACTGATTGTATACTATTTTGTGATTATTTGTAGCATTTTTTAACCTTAATATGTGCTGTTGTCTACCATTACTTTGATGTTATAAATGCAAGGTAATTGTATTTTATTTTAAATGATGTAATCAGTTTTTCTACTCTTATTATTGTTTTATGTGCAGCTGCATTCAAAATTTGATGCTCTCAAGAAGCAGCATGCTGAAGAGAAGAAAAAACTGGAAGAAGATAGAAAAAAACTAGATGAAGAAATAAATAATTTAAACAAAAGAAAAGCTGCAGTGCAGCAAGTACAGACTCAGGCTCCATTTCAATCTCTTACTTTAGGTAAAAGTAAGAAAAAATAGTTTTATTTTGTCATCTGTTATTGAGGCTGAATAAATTATGTGCCTGTGCATTAGGAGTTGTGCGCTTTAATCTGATTGTGACTTACTACTCATATAAATCTTTGTAGAACTGTAACTTGTTTGTATATGCTGTGTGTCATTACTGTATTGAATCACAAGTGTAATGCATTTTTTGTGAATTTGTGAATATATTTTCATTTGTTTCTTAGTTTATTGTGGACAGTTTCTCCAAGTTGCTTTTGCATTTAAAGCTTATAAATCTGTAATATTCAAGAGCACTTTCACAGCTGAATATTTATGAAGTGTAATTTTATATTTTTCATTCATTTTATCAATAAATTAGTATTAAAGACATTTGGTGAATCCTTTATTTTGTAATTTGAAGAGCAAATTTCTCTTTGTGTGTGAATTGAACAAATGTAGAAAATGTTTTAAAATTTTTATGCATTATACAGGAAAAAAAAATTAAATGAGAGTATAATTTTTAATGGCAGGAACCTCAAAATCAGAGATGTGATATTGATCTGTAGAAAAATTTTGTTGCTTTAATTTGTTTTGAAGCAATATATAAGTAAATATTTCGCAGTTTATTTAGAACGTGGGTATATTTTACTCATGGTGTAAACTGTAAAAAGAAAGATCATGTTGGAGGGGCGAAATTCATTTATATATGTAATGTATGAAAGCAAGTATTGTGTAAAATGCTAAAAACTGAACACCAAAGTATGAAACTATTACTATTTCGTCCATTTCCTATGCATTATATTCAACCCAAAAATAAACTGTCAAAGTGTAAAATACTCTTGTTAACAGCATTTTTAAGCAAAGGTAGCCAGTCATGTGACTATCAGCACTTTCCTAAGATAGTTAATTCCTCATTTGAATTTTGGTCCTTGTGTAAAAAAGATGAAATATGTTACTTTAAATTTGTTCATCAGAAACTAGCATATATTTTGCATTGTGAAAATGGAAGAGCAAGGTGTAGTGTCAGAGAAGGAATCGTGGCATGTTGGCCAGCATAAACTGTCTTAAGATGCAAACCAGTGATGAAAAAACAGTGTTTTCCTAGCTACTTACCAGAAGTTAGTGAGGAAAAGGCCAATACCACTGTTGACAAGGAACCACAGGACTATTGGTTGTTGAGTTGATAAATGATATGATGAGATGTTAGTGAAAAGCAAAAGTAAACTGATTCATCAGTTTAAGAAAGCGTTAGTGCTGTCGAGTTCTATACTATGTCTTTTCAATAAAATTTTTGTGACTCTTAATAATCTGCCTAAGTAGCATTTGTCATTCTGTATAATGCATAGGGAAGGTATACATAATATTTAAATAATTTAGGTGTTTCGTATTTTGTATATTGCCTAGACATTCCATAGAATGTCCATTTTTCATACAGTCTGTGTAACGTGTATATAATTTAAACAGATTCAAGCTGTGTAACTTTAAAATTTTTTTCCAATATGTCAGTACTTAGCAGCTCTTTTCACTCATGAAGAAAAAGGCTACAAAATGAAGTAGTGAGCATTAGTAGTTGATTATATATAAACTATCTTGTTTGATGAGCATGTGGAATGTTTTAATATCTATTTTCCTACCATCCAGTTTTGAAATAGCAAATACTTTATGTAGCAGTAATGTGCATCTCAGAACTGCCAAGTCTTCCTTTAAATTTCCCTTTTTTAATTCATGTGAATTCAGATTATCAATCCTTTTAGAAAAGTAGTTATTCAGTTAGTGCAGTGAAGAAAAATGTGATGGCGAAATCTTAAACAAAAAAAAAAAAAAAAAAAAAAAGACGTAATCTTTTAATGAAATTTAAGATGTGCAAAATTCATCGTACCCTAATGATTTTAAGTTTTCTCATTAATTTTTTATTTAAAATAACTGTTTAACCCACTTTAAAGATTAGAGCTTTTTATATAGGTTTAGCCAACATTTAATAGTTTATATTTGTATTTGATTTGCTTAAAATCTATAAACATTACACTTACCGCAATTTGCATATTACACTAAATTTATCCACATGATTATATACATTTTCATTTCATTTCCTCTATTTTTGAAAGTACTTTGATAAATAAAAGCTTTTCTGCCTAACTTCAAGTTTTATCAAGTTAAAATTTTAAGAAAAAGACAAAGTGAGTTAGACTAATTAATACTAAATTGATGTATTTTACATCAGTATCACATTGTACTCTAAATCTTTAAATGTAAAATGACTTAGTCATATTTGTCTATTTTGAAGACCTTTTAAAATCATGTTGCCAAGCAACATGGAAATTTATTTTTTAAAGTTGACATCTATAGTATCTGGAGAATACTACTTTTCTTAGAAATGTGAAGTGGACACATTATAGCTGTTTGTTAGATTGATGTCAATTGAGTACGATTTATATATATGAATGGAAAGAACAGAAGGCTAACAAAAGTTTATTTCTTATTTGCATTCAGTTAATCATTTTGAAATTGTGTGATGTTCCTTTTCAAAATGTAACATTGCATGGGCATTTTATATTTGCTTGCTTTGCAGAAAAATGTCCCCTTCCCTTATCAACTAATGGGCTAAAAATGTGATACACTAGCCAGCAAATGTTTAAAGGTAAAACAGTGATGCAGAATGATTCAGTTATGTTGTTGATAATGATATTTCTCAGCAAAAGAAAGCTCATCTAATAAGGAGGGAAAACAGTGTGGTCCACTTGCTTTTGTGTGTGTGTGTGTGTGAAATTCTGCATTCCTACAATGTGTGAGAAAAAGGCAATTGTTTAAAAAAGATTGGGTATGTCCAAATAATAGATTATTCTGGTTATTGGACTTTGGGCTTGAGTATAGTTCAATAACTTAATAATGCGTTACAAAATGAATTTTAAATCAGTTTGAAGAGTTCTCTTGAAATCATGTCGCTACTCAGCGTGAAAGCCTCCCACTTTTTTTGTAATTGAATGCTGATAGCTATGGTAATAACTTCTGAATGTTATGCTGAATAAGTAATAATAATAATTTAACAGTTAATAATAATAATATTTAATTATTGCTGAATAACTTTGTTAAGGCAGAAGTGATCTGGCAACCACGATGAGAGAAAACGACAACGTGGTTAGCTAGCGGCCATTATTATTGTGCTTGATTGCGTGCTGGGAGGTGCACCTATGCGATGGCAAGAGTGTCCATCCAAACAGAAGTTAAAAGAAATAAAGCTACAGTCCATTAAATCTTGGTGTTTGTGTTTCACGAGTATGTTTATTCTCGAACATATTGTGGTCCGTCGAGCTGGAGGAAGATTAGTGCCTATGGATAAAATGCTGGTTAAAAAGCTTAAAGGTGAAGTGTTAAATTGATAAAAAAGTGTGATATGTTACTTCGCATTCGACAAGATAATTAAAAATTAGTGTGTGTTTGGATTTACAAATTTCGGGTTCATTTGGATTACCTCAAACGGATGTAAGTGAATCTGCTCATATATGTTCGGTATTATTAATTAACGTTAATTATGGAAGCATTTTTAATTAAGAAAAGAATTTTAAAGTCAAATATAACAAAAGCGACATCAGATTTCGAAAAATATACTTGTGATGAATTTCAGTTACAACTTTTTGAAAATAAATGTGCAAAATTTAATAATGAATGTTCAGAGATTTTTGATAAATTATTTGTAGTAGTAGATGAAAAAGAGTTTGACAAATATGTAACTGAACATCAAACTGTTCAAGACAGCATTGATACTTTGTGGGTTAAGGTTAAACGGCAAATGTCAAAATTTAGTGCTAAAGATGCAAGTAATGTAAAGATTGAAAATACCAGTGCACAAAATATGAAATTACCTAAATTAAACTTGCCGTCTTTTAGTGGAAATATTCAAGATTGGTTAAGCTTTCGGGATCTTTTCATTTCAAGCATTCATAATAATAATGTATTATCGGATTCCCAAAAGCTCTCGTATTTGAAGTTATCGCTTCATGGCGAAGCAGCTAGGATTATTCAATCAGTCACAATTTGTGACAATAACTATAAAATTGCTTGGGATTTTTTAGAAGAGAGATACTCCAATAAACGTGATCAGGTTTTCGCCGAGATAAAGCGATTCATGTCAATTTCTCCCATACAAAATGAAAGCCTGTCTTCTATTTTAAAATTAGTAGACACAGTGAATGAAAGTGTAAGGTCTTTGGAAATATTAGACCAAAAAATAGAGGGATTCGCAGAAACATTTCTTGCATATATTTTGCTGCAAAAATTGGATGTTTCCAATGGGTGGTCTTTGGTGGGAAAGATATTAAAAAACTAATGAGTTACCTAAATTATCTGAGCTTATTACATTTCTAAAAAATCATGCTAGAACTTTGCAGTCGTCAAAGTCATCTAATGTGTTTAATTCAAAAAAGGGTCAACCTATTCAAAAGGTGACTGCCTTAGTGTCCAATGTTAAAGGTCAAGATTTTAAATGTATTTGTTGTAAAACTAACAATTTTCACAAGTTGTATAAATGTAATTCTTTCTTGAAAATGACTGTAAGTAAACGTCTTGAATTTGTTGAGAAACATAAATTATGCTTTAATTGCTTGGGTTTTAATCCGACTCGTACTGCAAAGAACTGTCGTTCAGAATTCAGCTGTTCAAAATGCATGAAAAATCACCATAGTTTACTGCATTTTCCCAATGAAGACATTTCGCATTCACCTGCTACTATAGCGAGTTGTGTGGGGAAGGAGGAAGCACCGGCTAATAATTCTGACCCTCCTTTAGTAGACAACTCGAATCTAAACTCTGACACCAGATGTTTTGAAATGTTATCTAATTGCAGCCAAATAAACAATTCGGAATTTATTGGTTCGTCTGTAACTGCTTCACAAGTGATTTCGAAGGAGGTATTACTATCTACTGCTATTATTTATGTTAAAGATTCTTGCGGGAATTTTATTGCTTGTCGAGCTTTACTTGACTGCGGAAGTCAGTGTTCGTGTTTCACCTATGATTTCGCTATTAGGTTTGGAATATAAGGGAGTAAAATTAACATATCAATTTCATGTTTAAATGGAAAAGCTCTATCGGTAAAATCCAAGCTTACTGCTGTGATATCAAACAAGTGTGATTACCACAGAGCTCTTGAATTCTTTGTTGTACCTAAAATTAATGATTTGGTACCAGTGAATTATTTTAAATTTTCATTTTCACAGCTTCCGCAAAAGATCAAACTAGCGGATCCTCATTTAACAAGCCCCAGAAAATTAGATGCCTTGTTAGGTGCAGAATGCTTTTATGAACTATTGAAGGCTGATCAAATTCATCCACGAAATTCTAATTTAACTCTTCAAAATTCCGTATTTGGATACATTGCTACCGGTGTAAATGTT